ACCCCGAAAGCGCTTGTACTGAATGGCAATTTGTCATTAGAGGTCAGCAATGATGCCAATTTGTCATTAGAGGTCAGCAAGGTGACGCGCAGTGCAGAGGTCAGCAATGTGACGCGCAGTACAGAGGTCAGGGTGTGACGCATTGTACAGAGGTCAGTACACAGTACAGAGGTCAGCGCTCAGTATGTAACGCAGTGCAGAGGTCACAAAGAAAGTACAGGGACTTACAGTTGCTTTGACCTCTTCTTCTCCTGGTGATGGTGGGGGAGCAACGAGGTTGCCTGCACGTTCAGCCGGCTCCAGGTGCGCTCTTTCCCGCGCAGCAGAGGCCGGCCAACTGCGTTTCTGTAGTCTTCCTCTCCCACCAATGGCAGCTGAGGTGGGCAGAGGAAACTGCTGAGGCCACCGAGGAGCCCAATCGAAGAGGGCACAGACGATGGCAGTGGAGCTTCTTGTTCTCTTCTCTCCGCCACCGCAGTCTTATAGAGGCCCCCCTCCCAGTCCACATCTTTTGGACGTTATTAATCTGAGTTGCCCCACTCAGTATGCCCATCGCTTTCGGTCATATTGAGTGGGGCACTAAGATTAATAATGCGCTGGATTAGTCTGACACCCAGGGGCGGACTGGGCCCGGGGGCAGGGTGGCAATTGCCCCCCAAGCCTCTCCGATACCTATGCAAATGCCCGCCGCCATAAGCATTTAATCTCACCCCTCTCGGCCGCTCTGCTGTTGCAGTGGCCAAGAGGGGAGAGATGAAGCCCTTGCAGTGACGGGGGGCATTTGCAAAGGTATCAGAGAGGCCTGGGGGGCAATTGCCACCCTGCCCACGGGCCTAGTTCGCCCCTAGGTCTGACTTATCCAGCACGTTATTAATATGAGTGCCCCACTCAATATGGCCGCAAGCGAGGGGCATACTGAGTGGGGCAACTCAGATTAATAACGTCCAAAAGATATGGACTGGGAGGGGGGGCTCTTTAAGACGGCTCTGATCACACGGCTGAACGATCCCTCTCTCTTCTCCCGACCGCTCCAGCTTCATGAAGCGGGCACTCAGAGAGGCAGCTACGATCACACTTGTCAGCGTTCCCTCTCTCTGCTCCCGGCCGCTGCAGCTTCAGAGCGGCCAGAAGGAGAGAGAGGGAGCGATAACGGGTGTAATCAGAGCCGCCTCTCTGAGTGGAGCTGAAGCGGCCGGGACGAAGGAGAGGGAGCGCAGAGAGCTAGCTCCGGCTATGGATGGACTGTTCTCTCTTCTCCTTCTCGGGCTCGGCCGCTCTGTAGCTGCAGCAGGCGAGAAAGAGAAAAGAATGCAGTATAATATGCGGTATACCAACACCACGTATACAGTATAATATACGGTATACCAGTACCACGTATACAGTATAATATACGGTATACAAACACCACATATACAGTATAATATACGGTATACCAATACCACGTATACAGTATAATATACGGTATTGAAAGAGTCCAGGGCTTACTACGCATGTGCCAATGGCGCGTTGCTGCAAGAGGAAATCCGCGCCAACTGCGCATGCGCCAAAGACGTGTCAGTGCGCCAACCCGTGCATGCGCAGAAGACCTGATGGAAAAAGGCAGGAAAATGCCCAGGAGGCGCACAGGAAGTGACCTCAAACTTCAATCATCACTTCCCTATATAAGCCCAGCCCAGACACTGCCAAATTGCTGGATTATCTTCAGTCCCCCCTTGTTCCTGTGCTAGTGTGTGATCTGTCAACTTGTTGTGACCTGGAAACCTATTTGACTACTCTTGAGTGCTGCCTGCCATTGACCTCGGATTTGTACCTTGACCATTCTACTTCTTTGCCCCTTTTGTACTCAGCTACCAGATTGGAACCGACCTATCCGCACGGGCTGCCTCACGAGGGCAGCGGCAGCCATCTTTAAACCTGGAAGTTCCGACAGGCCGGGCCTGGGAACTAATTTTTACACTACTTCAGGGAATTACAAGTTTGCTGAGGGCCCTTCTGCTGAGCTGCAATGTGTGGATCTCGACCATTCTTCTGATTAACCCTTGTGTACTTCGTTGCCAGAGTGGACTTGACCTCGACTCGGATCTCGGACTAAGGCTTGCATGGTGCTCCGCACCCCTGGCACCCGTGCCACTCGGTGTCCACCAAGTCTCTGTCTCCATCTCCAGAGACTTCAAGGACACGAGGTGCAAGGGAGGCCTCCCCATTACTTCGGTCTCACCTCGCGTACGTGACTCTCGTGACAGGTATACCAGCACCACGTATACAGTATAATATACGGTATACCAGCACCACATATACAGTATAATATACATTATAGCACCACTACATTTACATTTATTTATTTATTATCAAAAAGCATCATACACAACTAAAAAAAAAGCTTTTTTTTTTTTTTACTGTCCCTTTACGCAAACGCCAGAATATTTAAATAATAGACAAAAACAGACACTGAACTACATTTATAATAAAACAATTTACTTACAAAAGAAGCTATTCAGTCGTCTGCTGTGCCGTCCACTGCTTGCTTCCGCGGATTCTTTCCCCTCCTTTCTGTCTCTCCTCAGAGCGCAGGTTCTGTAAGCTCCTCAACCCTACCCAGAGGTCTGGCAAGGCAGGGACATCCTATGCGCATGCGCGACTAGATTAAAGATGGCTGCCACTCAATATGAATTCTTGAAAAAATTTGACTATGTGTGGCAGGCATACCACACATTGCAGCTCAGCAGAAGGGCCCTCAGCAAACTAGTAATTCCCTGAAGTAGTGTAAAAATTAGTTCCCAGGCCCAGCCTGTGGAAACTTCCAGGTTTAAAGATGGCAGCCATCTTGGTTACATTCATGTGAGGCAGCCCGTGCGGATGAGCCCAGAGCGGCGATTTCCAAAGTGGCAGCAGCCTGTAAAACGTGCAGGCCTTTATGGGCACTTCAAGGTTTAAAGATGGCCGCCGCTGCTAACGGGCCGCGGCCATCTTGGTGACGTTACTGTGGCAGGCCTGTGCGGAGGAGCACAGAGCTCAGAGAGTGGCAGTATCACCGATCATAGAGGCGAAGCTGGCAACCAATAAAAAGGTACCAGGAGCCTCTCACGTGGGGCCCCCTAGTGGCCGCGCCCGAATGGTCAGCCCGCCCCTGGATTATACCACATCTTCAGTGTCAGAGATTGACAAATGATGCTAAATATATTCATATGAAATATCAAGTTAGCAAAAATTCTGCAGTCCTGACATTTAGGAGTCAGGACAAAATTACAGTGTCTGTGTAAAGCCTAGAGTAGTTTATACTCACTAGCACTCCCTCACCATTACTTTTGTGGCCGCCACTGCAATACACCCTGCTTCGAGGTATAGGGGAGTATATGAGCTCCTCCAATGAGGCAGTGCTTGGACCTAGTGGTCAATAGATCTAAGCAATGCCACATAATGGAGGGGTGACATCCATTCATGCAGCAAACCACATGAAGCATTACAAAACTGACACCACAAGCATGACTCCATTATGCATTTTAACCACAGCTGTAGGGCCGGAGTTTGCCTACCCCTTTGACAAACCACCTTGCACTCAATAATAAATATTCAGCTAACGTTACAGAAAGCATATCACCCGTTAGCTACAAATTATATTTTGTTTGGAAGATTGATAAAGTTCTTTAAAGTGTACAGTATGTGTAGCCTATTTTGCACAGAGAAGGGAAGGATTAAAATGCTTAAGAGGGTGTTTATTGTTGTTCCACTAGGGAGATTTCCCTTAATTTGCTGTCCTGAAGATTCAACAGGAAATAATAGGAAATCTCACCAAAATGAGAGAAATACCTGCCTTAGACAGTTGTCACAGCAACACTTGTCCCCACTTGAGGATTTCCCCTTACATCTTGCTTTTGTGACAACTCTCGAAATCTGGATTTCTACTAAATTTCTTTCCCAGTGACAAAGGTCACCAGGATTAAATCTATCTAACTGGGACACAGACAGCAATAAAAAGGGTCTTGTGTAGATTTTGGGGGGAACCATTTTTTTAAAATGACGTTTTTTACATTGTAGACTCAGTGCCTTGAGATTTTTGCATACTTTGAAAAAGTGTGGTAACTGAAAAAAGGCTGAGAAATGCTGTTCTAGGCTATAATCATTATTGATTTCTATTCATTTAATATGTGAGCAATCTATTGTCCCTCCACAATACATCGATTCATCACCATGCATGTAGAAATGCCTTTTCTGAATGTTCCCGAAAGTTTGACTATTCACTTTCTAAATTTACATTATTACAGTTTTTACATGATTCATTTTTCAATCTTAACCTGTACAATGAAGAAAAAAAGGCCACGATGCACACCCAGTTGTTATTTCTTTATTAAATACTGTGCAAGCAATTATTTGTATACCATTAAATACAAAAATAATTGACCAAAACAAAAAATATTTTCTGCTTGGCCTGAAGATAACATTTAAATTGCCATAAATAATTGCTTATTTCAACGTGTTGCAGGCAATTTGTTGTTCTGTGAATACCAGTTTTTCAATCTAAACTGAAGGCCATATAGACCCAATTCCAACCATAATTAGGTGTATGCGTCTCATAGAAAAAAACTGTCAGAACCTGGGAAGCTTGTGAGAAATGTATAGCAGAAAGACAACTCAGTTAGTGATCTGCAATACTTTTCAGGAGGTGTCTCTTAATTTGGGAAAGCCCACTCCACTGTACCTTTTTTCGCAAGAAGCTGCTGTTCTACTAAACAGCCTATGCTACACCGTTTGGTCCTATTCTATTATTGTCAGAGAGCACATGGAGATTGCAAAAGGTGACAATGATAATACTTGGCCTGCATATCCATTTAGTGCGTCCACAACTCCAGATTGCTGGTTACAAGCAGTTTTATGCAATTGGACAGCCCTCTACAATACAGGTGTGCTTGAATTAAAAACATTTAATAATTCAGGAAGATCTTATTTGCAATAAACGGCAAAATCCATCACAGTTTATACACATACTTTTCAAAACAACAAAGTTAATCTCCTATACATGTAAAGTCAATATGAAGTGAAGAATGGGTTACTGCTCTTAACAGACTAGTGGTTTCCTCCCGCAGTTTTGCTGTTACTTGTATTTTGCCTAAAACAACACAAATTAAATTAAGTTAACTATCCATAGAAAAATACAGCATAGACTTTAGACAGTAAGTAAAACATGTAGATTTTAAGACTAATTTAATGCATTTAAAATTATTATACCATATTTGCAAGGAAATGCTTTTACATTTAAGGTCCCAGAACAATTCCAAAGTGGCCAGTATAGGCTAAAAAAATTAAACCAAGGACCTCAACATAAAACCTACTATGAAAACTGGAAAATTAATTTGTTTAAATACATCATCTGGCAACATTTCTTCCTGTGTTTTCTCAGGCTACCTCAATTTCAGATTTCACCTGGATACCTGCTAATAAAATGATATGGTGGTGTTACACAGTGACCTCAAAATGATCTTTTTTTCAACCGTAAAAACAGAATGATATGGTTTACTACTGGGGGGCTATTGGTGTTGAGTACCCCTCTGTGTAGATAAACACTGGGGTCTCCATTAAAAAGGTCTTATTTTGGAGGCGTGGCGAGCCGCTGAGTAAGATGGCCGCGGTTCTGAAGAGGCTCCGCAACAACCGGTCCCCTGAGAGCAACGTTAAGCTATCATTAGCAGCTTGAGTGACACCAGGACACTGAAAATCACTCACCGACCCTCGGCACTCCAGTGGCGGCGATATGCGGCAGAGCAGGAGGCAAAAAGATGTACGGAAGTCAAAGCCCCAGAAACGAGGTACTCCCAAGATGGCGGCCGCCCGAACAGCACCAGGGCTGACTGCTTCACCGCGCCTTATATTAGACGAGCACGACTCCCTAGATAGCCTGCCCATGACCCAGGGAGACGACCGAGTAGATCCTAGAGATGCAGCACTCTTGGAGAAATTTCGAGCAATGCTGCACACTGAACTGACGGCAGTCTCTGACAAGCTAAATGAGACCTTGACCAGAGAGCACAGGGATCTAGGTGCACGTACAGATCAGCTAGAGAAGAAGGTGGAGGATGTTATTGAGGTGATGGAATCTCATGAGCACGACCTGGACACTGCTAATACTGACATCATTGATGGAATCTCATGAGCACGACCTGGACACTGCTAATACTGACATCATTGCCCTGATGGACAAGGTGGAGGATATGGAGAACAGAGCCAGACGCAGGAACCTCCACTTTCGCGGCCTACCTGAATCCATAGAGGATCTGCAATCCACAATCACGGCCCTTTTGCAAGAGCTCATACCCTCGATGCCAGTAGAGAGACTGGAGTTCGATCGTATACACAGAGCACTAGCCCCAAAACGCCCAAATGGCCCTACGGTAATCGCTAAGTTTTCTTTTTACCGTACTAAGGAGGCAGTGATGCGGGCAGCAAGGGGCCGGAAAGAACTCATCTTCCAAGGGCACTCGTTCCAGATATTTGCTGACCTCTCCCCCACAACTATACAACGTCGCCGTGCCTTGAAATAGTTTCTGGACACATTGAAAAGTCAAGGTATTGCTTACCGGTGGGGATTCCCCTTTAAACTTCTGTTTGTCTACCAAGGCAAAACATATGCAACTACAACTCCCACGGAGCTGAGACAGGCGCTCAGGGATATTGGGCTCCACACTTCACCACAGAAGACATCCTCGCAACCCGCGACCAGTCCTCGCTGACCACCCCCGAGCCCTCTGTGGGAGAGGAAGCAAAGGCCTAAGCAGCAGCCCATCCAACAACGGAAGGGACCGTCAGCACCCCCTGACCCTACCTGAATGACAGCAATCCTGCTACGCCACCGGCCGGTGGCCAATACTCCCTTCATAGGGCCCCTTGCCCTCTATACACCGTTAGGTGATCCGGGTTACTAATGTTATTCCAGCCTCCTTGGTCTTTGGGACTGTATGCCACCGTTGGCTTGAAAGTTTTCTGCCTATTGCAGTCATTTATGCCGACCTACCACTGAAAAGGAGCTCGCTTAATTCACGTTATTTTGGTTGGACATGAAGTGTCACGTACAAGTTATTTGACTCTATTGCTCTCAAGAGGGACCGGGTAACTGACCAATTGGACGCGACATAACCTCTCTTGGTTTGGCAGACTTGCAGCTGTCAAAATGACCATACTACCTAGACTGTTGTACTTCTTTAGAGTCTTGCCAATAGCGGTGCCGTCATTTGCTTTAAGATCTTTTCAACGGAGCATAATGCCGTTTATCTGGCACCCCCTACGGCCAAGGACACCACGGTACACACTATACAAACATAAAACAGAAGGAGGCATTGGTGTGCCAAACATAACTCTTTACTACCAGGCGTCCCAGCTCTTGCCCCTGGTCACTATACACACATCCCACTCTGGACCCTGCTGGAAATCCTGAAAGTTATCCGATCCCCCTTGCAGCACTCCCATGGTTACCGCCCTTGGCCAGGCCACTAACACTCAGCCCCCCCTATGAAACACGCTTTAAAAGTGTGGGACTCACTAAAGTATTCATCTGATCTTATATCTCCGTACCTACCCCTTCTTCCCATAAGCTCTCAACCTTTATTCCCCCGGCATACAACAACCCAACTCTATTTAAATGGTGGGGGGAAAATGGGTACAACAGACTATACGACTTCCTTTGCACAAACACCACCCCAACTTGGTCATACCTTAAGGAACATAAAGGGGTCCCCAACACAGAACTATTCCGCTTCATACAACTACAGCACTGGGTGTCCTCAATGAAGGTGAGGAAAAAGGCTCAACACGCCCCACTTACGTGAACTGCTAAACTGACCATTGCAGGCAATTGGAAGAAACAAATTATCCCCTATGGAGAATTTACACAAAGGTTAGACAACATTATGCTAAATAAAAGATTGTCCTGTATCCTGGCGGATACTACCACTAAATTTCTAGACGTATGGGAACCATGGATTCTGTATCATCACCCCAACATGGATATGTATAATCTTACCTTATTGTGACAGATTCTTGTGCGACCATATGGTTGAGTTGGATGGCCTTAACCTAGAACTAAGGCTCACGGACCCGTTGGGATACCTTCTTGTTGCTAATGGTGCTACCCCCACCGATGGACCCCCTATCTGACTTTCGTTTCTTTTTTTATCTTTCCCTTGGTTATACACTGGATGTCATTATAATGTATAACAATGCATCTGCATCTCAAGTTTGAATTGTACTGTATGCATCGAATACTGTTATTGCACTATACTGTGTAAACCATTTGTGTTTTTTTTTTTTTACTGAAAAGACAAGTACTTCCCAGCTGTGTACTTAGTTAAATACATTTGGATAGGATTTTGTGAAATTGAATTACTGAGTAAAACAGTTTCCCTGTTTATATACATTTCAAAATTCCCATTCTAGATCTACATCTATATTATGCTAATGTGTATTCAAGGTGAAGCGAAGAATTTGCAGCTGAGGAGGGAAGATGGGAACATGTAGGTAGGCATCCTTGATGTCTTTGAGGCAAGGATATTCACCTGCTGAAGAGAGGCAACGAACAACTGAGCTGACCTCATGCAGAACTTCTGAACCCACAAATACTAATTAAGGACCTTCAGGTCCAAGATGGGGCGAACCCTGCCGCAGGTCTCAGATACCATTGCAATTCAGAGGGGTACACGCCAAGGCTGTCCCCTCTCCCCAGTCCTTTTTGCCCTAGCCATCGAACCTCTGATACATCTGATCCGATCTAATCCTAATGTGCGGGGAGTTGAGGTAGCGGGGGTAGAATATAAAACTAGCTTATTTGCGGACAATGTCCTACTGACCATAACCCAGCCCCACACCTCAATTCCCAATCTACTGCAGTACTGTATGCATCGAATACTGTTATTGCACTATACTGTGTAAACCATTTGTGTTTTTTTTTTTTTACTGAAAAGACAAGTACTTCCCAGCTGTGTACTTAGTTAAATACATTTGGATAGGATTTTGTGAAATTGAATTACTGAGTAAAACAGTTTCCCTGTTTATATACATTTCAAAATTCCCATTCTAGATCTACATCTATATTATGCTAATGTGTATTCAAGGTGAAGCGAAGAATTTGCAGCTGAGGAGGGAAGATGGGAACATGTAGGTAGGCATCCTTGATGTCTTTGAGGCAAGGATATTCACCTGCTGAAGAGAGGCAACGAACAACTGAGCTGACCTCATGCAGAACTTCTGAACCCACAAATACTAATTAAGGACCTTCAGGTCCAAGATGGGGCGAACCCTGCCGCTTGGCTTAGGAACATTGATTGGAATACAATAACCAAAACCGCTCCTCCTCGGGAACCGGAGTTATGACCTGAACCTGTATTAGAAACTTTAGGGACATACTGCGTAGGCAAATCAATCGCTAAGCATCCCCTGACCATATTTTTCAGCTCATCAATAGTGTCACGCATCTTCTGTGATAGGGTGGTTGAAGGAAAAATCCTCCTGAGAGGATCAGAATCAGTGAAAGCAGAGTCAGACAGGCTCAGGGGATGAGGACTTGTGACAAAAAGTGCCAATCAAAACAGATAGCTGACCCATTAATGCATAGATGCTTCAAGAGGCATGCAGTACCCCTGAGGGGGCTATAGATGCAATAGAAGAAGGCAGAGAACTCAGCTGAGGACTATTAGACAAGCCATCTGGCATAACCTTCCTAGGGGGCCCGCAGAGAAGCCCACTTGGCCCACAGCAGCTAAAGAGCCAGCTACCCCTTAATCGCCAGTGCCCTTGCGTCTCTTATCAGCCACAATGAGGGGTCCCACACAGGTACTCACAGACCGCAGCAAGGATTAAATGAGAATCCCATCTGCAGTTACAATGTTCCAGGCACCCAGATGATACCATGTGTATTTGGATGGAACCGGACTGAAAATTCCATGCTCACAGCCGCTCCAAGTATCATCACAATATCAGATGGCTGCCAGACACTGCACCTGAGCGTGCTCTAGCTCAGGGATAAAGAAAAATGGCCACCACAGAAGGGTTTGCACCCGTGCTGTGGCAGATAGTGACACTAAAGATAGTCGAGGATGACAAGGACGCCTTTAGCACCTTCTTTTCTTCTTCGTACGTCTTTAGGGACTGGGTCACATTGTGCAGATCTAATACAACAGCAAAGTGGCAGATTGTGTGGATCTGCCACTTCCCTGGACCCGTCGTATAGCACCCTGCAGCTAACTCATTGCGTTGCACCACATGAGGAAGCAATGGACCAACAGTCCAGAAACGGAGAGGTAGCCATTGTGGCTGAATGCAGTTAGGAATAGTAGAGCCTCAAAATCATCATCAAAACAGCAACTAAACTACCAGAAATCTCCCTTAGTAAAAAGGAGACATCCATCACCTAAGGACACTAGCAAAAAAACTAAGGATTTCCTGGAAAGGAGTGGGTTATATGAGGGTCCTTACAGCTCTGGCAAGTGTCCAATCACCTGGCTTTATCTGAATATTACCCCAGTCATCTCTGAATTGCCTGTGTCCTGTACCATCAGGAAATAAAGGTTAACAAATTGACATTCATTCCCTTGTAGGCAAATCCAAACTTTCCTTATTTTCAAACAGTTTCAAATCTACAAATTTGAGTCACTTACAGTATGAAAACTCTAAAAGTCATACATCTTTATTACCCACTTTTGAAGGACTAATTTATTTTATCTTTGTAATTAATTTTCTATTCTAATTTATTTATAAAAGAGATTTATCTCTTTTTCTGCAGCCCCTGTTATCAATGAACAGGAATTCTCTACGAGTGTTCGTGTTCATTCATAACATGAGGACATGATATGTTTACTATAACTACCACTATGAATGAACTGGAGGGGATGTAGATCACTCCCATTCATTCATAATTGAGGCTATAGTTAACATACCAGGTCCTCAATTATGTACAAACACTCAGCGATCACTGAGTGTTTGTACCTTGCTCTCCTCTGACACATTGTCACAGGAGGTGGAGCGAGCGGTGTATGGAGGAGAGCTCAGCCTCATGTGCCAGCACGGCCTGTCTCCGCCCACACACCGCTCTGCCGGCTATCACAGTTTCTCTCCTCCCCGCTGGGACACAGAGCACCGCCCAGCGTGGAGGAAAGAAACCAGGGATGTGCCGCTGTATCGGCATGAAAATGACACTTTCGGCCGATATATCGGTGCATCCCTAATTATTTTCATAATCGATTAGTTGGCCGATGTATTTTTTCGATTAATCCGATAAAAAAATAAAATACCATCCTTAATTTAAAATAAAATACACAAATGGAGTGTTACAAACCTAAAGTCACAGAATAAAACTTCATGCACAATTTTTTGCAATTGCACTGCACTGGAACGCACGGTATTGCAGTACCGTGTGTTCAAGAGCGGGCAAGCACACTATGGGTGAAAGCCGCACTGGGGGTGCCATTGAAATGAATGAAGATGCAATGCACCTCCCACAGCAGAATTTGTCAGGCCAAAACTGAAAATGACTTTTTTTTCCCCCCAAGTTTTTATAATTTTTTTATTTTTTATAATGGTATTGTAAGCATATGGCGCTTGAATAGCTTCAACCAGGGAATGACAGCTGAATGTAAATGCAGCAGGTAGTTGGCTGGTGCAATAGTCGGCCTGCTATTGGCCATTTCGAATTGCAAAAGCCAGGGCTTGGAAAATTTTACCAGTCAAAAATGTCACCAGTTAGCATGACTGGACTATAGCCTTGCAATTTATGTTACCATTTCTTAGGGAGAGATAGAGCTTTCTTTTGGTGGTAAATAATCACCACTGGGGCTTTTATTTTTTACTATTTAATGAAAAAAGTACAATAAAAGTACCGTAAATTTCGACACACACATGGATCGCAGCTAATACAAGCGATCGCTTGAATATAAAGCTCCCGGCCGGCCGTTTAATTACAACAGCCGGCCAGGAAGCTACTCGTTGGGCTCCGGCGTCCTCTCATCAGAGTGGATTTTTCAAGCCCTGGCAATAGCAGGTTAGCTATTGCACCCGCCCACTGCTTGCTGTGCCCTCCTCCCCAGCATGAAGGAGAGAGCTAGGGGATCCAATCAACTAGATCAAACACATGCACCACGCTAATCAATAATCATAATGCGTGAGTAATAAAGTGCTAGATATCAAATAAATCACATATAAACCAATATAGTTCATAAATAATCAAATAAAATGTGTCTCTCATTATAATATCTCCATTAGAGATTAAGTGAAAATTAATATTATAAAGTCCATTAATAGTTGATGCCATTTTGTAAATGACCTCCCCTGAACTGGAAGCTTTCTAGTGACAGAGCACAGAGAGGAGAAGTTCTTGTTTGCACTTTGCCACTTAATTTGCATCAATTATTGGTGGATTTTATAATTATCAATTTACACATGATCTCTACTGGAGATATTATAATGAGACACCTTTTTATTATTATACTATTATGAGTCCTCAAAATTTCCACTCGCCCCCTCGCAATTGGCGAGTGAAAATTGCGTGGGGGCGAGTGGATACTCATCGAGGAGTGCCGCCGGCGGGACCAGAGATGGGACACTACCGCCGCGGCGATTGCTTACTTCACTTTTCATTACGATTATTGATTAGCACGGTGAATCTGTATGATGTAATTTATTTATTTAATTAGCACGGGAGCTTTTTTTAAAATCTTATTTGATATTTATTTATTACTTTGGAGACAGCTTCCATAGCGTAGACTTTCTTTATATTTATCAATCCAACCAACTAATCGATGACAATAGTTCCCATTTGATAAATACCAAGGGGGTTCTTGCCGCGTCAATAAACAAATCACCCAATATATAAGCTTTTAAATAGGTACAAGACTTTGAATTGTGGAATTTGGGGGAAGCCTTGAATATGTAAACAGATGATTCTTATGTATGCTGGGCTTGGGAATAATATATGGCATCTCTTAGTAAACACAAGTGCTTATGTTTAAATCTAATAGACCCAACCAATAGCACAACAGCCATCTACTTACAATATTGAAGAGAACCAAGTAAACATTTGTACAAAGCTTTGTGCTTGGACAACTTGGTAATGAATGCATGGTAACACAGCCACTGTGCTGATTCAAAGGGGAATGGCACAGCTGCATCCTTCCTTTTAAGAGCAAAGCCTGCAGATATAAAATAAATAAATAAAAACAGATATGCATACCTAAAACGTGTGGATCAAATAAAGATTAACAAAAATTATGCAAACAAAGTGATAAATGCTCATTAAAAAAAACCCTCATTGGGTGGCGTGGCTGAGATGTGAAGAGCGTTGGACGTGTTTGACTGAGCTCCATCCTCCCGCTTGTTGCATCCATCTCCATCCTGCTGAATACCAAAGTTTTGAGACTTACCTGTTTTCCACTGGGGTGCAGTGATTCCTGGGGGTCCCACGGATGCCATCCAAGTTGGGGAGACACCCGGCTGCACAGAAGCAACGATCCAAAAGGCCTAGCCGCGAGTACTGATTCCACCATCTTGTCTTCCCTGGCGCACCTGTGTCGGAGCTTCCTTCTTGTGGCATGGAGGAGCTTCAGTGAGCAGCTGCTGGGGAGTCACTGGAGGTGTCAGTGGGGCCTTGGGTTGCCCCCGCGAGTTCATCTGGGACAAAGACGATTCTGGAGGCCATTCAGAGTTGTAAGGTGACTTTTTCTACTAAAAGAGAGCAACTGGCAGTGGAGTATACACTTATTCGTCATGACTTGGACAAGATTAGAGAACACACTCACCAGAGATCCATGACCATATATCTCATTGGTCAACAAACATAATTGTGGTGAGTGTCTTTCATGGATGGGATAAACACTCTTCTGATTAAACAAATCCTCCTTTTCGTATTACTGTTGTCTTTCACTAGTGGCTTGTTCTAAAACCCTTAATCTTGCCATGGCTGTGGCATGCTCATTGTTTTTCCAAAACTTCCATTTCTGCTTTCTGGCGTGCAGCTTCAGCTTCCATTTCTGCTTTCTGGTGTGCAGCTTCAGCTTCCTTCTCCGGTTTCTGATGTGCAGCTTCAGCTTCCTTCTCAGCTTCTGCATCTGCACAGGCTTTAATGAGTTGTTGGCTGAGTGTAGAAGATCTTGATTGTAGGGATTTGGAGGATCTTGTGAAGTGTCTAGTGGATGCAGAGCGATGAGATCTGGATTCATGGAGCTGAGTGATTCTCACTTCTGCCCTTGTCTTTGTTTGTGCTACTAAGTGGTCTCTTTCATGATTGAGCTTGTCAAATCCCTTTAATTCTTCCCATGACCTTTCAGTGTTGTAACGCTTTAAGAGATCAGTATACAGGTATTCCTCACTTAACGACCGAGTTCCGCTCCTATGACCAGGTCGTTAAACGAATTGGTCGTTAAGTGAGGAACTCTGTGTTGCAGATGTACAGTACATAACAGTGTACTGTACATCGGGCAATAAAATACTTAACGGGACCCGCAGTGAAGAACGGAGGAACTAACTTCCGCCGGCGACACGTCGCACTGACGCTGACACGCAAGGTCTGAGGTCGATCGGAGGTCGGTCATAAGTGCGAGTGGTCGCAAAGTAGGTAAGTCGGTAAGCGAGGAATGTCTGTATTTAACACAGTCTTTGATAACTCTCATAAGCAACATTCAATTGCTTAATAGCGCCCTCTAGTTGCAATGCCTCATGAGCTGGTTGAGAGAGAGTAGACATGCATTTAACAGCATTAGACTATAAGTCATTGATATTAGACTGTAGTTCCTCCTTGTCAGCTTCATGGTTCTGTTGAACCTTCCAAGTTGGTTTTACTAAACGTTTTTCCCTTTTGTTTGGTTCAGGATTTAATTCCTGGTCTGAAAGGAGTTCTGAATCTGGCTGTGCATTAGTTTACCCAGATTGTATAGTGTTTTGCTGAAACATTTGTGCTAACAAGGAGAGAGTTAATGATACAGTCTAAAGGTGCCCATACACTGCACGATTCTCGTACGAGAATCGCGGGAAATCCCGCGATCGTACGAGAATTTTTGTATTTCGAGCATGTTGGAAAACCAGCCCAGAATCGTACGATTTTCGGCTGGTTTTTAACATGATCGAGAGATGACTGCCGAACGGGCCAGTGTGCGTACCCACACATTGCACGTTCAGCGTTGCAGTCATCGGAAGCCCGCCCCCTCGATGATCGCAAGTACGATCTGCCTGTCCAAGATAGGCAGATAGTACGTTTTTTAAAATTACTTTACAACCCTTGCAAGACAAAAGTCTTGCGAGGGTTGTAAAGTGTATGGGCACCTTTAGGGCAGCAGATAAATGTATCAATTTGCTCTGGCTGGTGCTCAGGTTTCCTAGGCAACCAATTGAAGCCAAGTTTAGTTTCACTTTCTTATAATATACACAAACAGAAAGCCATGTGTTAATGTATATAGAGGCACTGTATAAACTGTTTGTATGCAACGTATGAACTGTCGCTGCAGTCATACTGTCATGAAACAGATGAGTGCTATGCTGAGATTTGCTTGATGGCATATACAGGCTTGTGTAGTAATGGCTGCACTTTCTGTAAGCTGCTATTTTCCAGTGTCAATAGAACATCTCACTATGTATCCAGAGCTAGCAAGGATCCTTTAAAAGATGTTTGACTGGATCTTTATAACAATCTTCTGACTGGATCTTTCTGATAATCTTTTGACTGTTCTGCCTCTCCAGTTTAAGCATTGAAAGTGTGATCTCTATAACTTACAGTTGTGGCGAGATAGCAATAACCGACAATCTTAGCTGCATTGGCAGATAGTGACTCAATCCAATAGACACCTTGAAGATCATTTAGAAGTTTAATCCAAAACTGTGAGGATCGTGCAACAGTGAACATTGAATAGATCAAAAAATTATGATGTGATCCACTCAACACAATGACATGTGCAGATGATGCAAAAACTGGACCAAAAGAGAAAAAGAGTGGAGCTATCTATACAGAGGAAAACTGAGCTATGGGGAGGGGAGGAGAGAAACACCAGAGACAGATGGAACACATACAATATTTAAAGGCATATCATAATTGCATGTGAAACATGACAGTGACCATTTAATTCTATAGGGTCTTTGCTTTTAGAAAATATATACATTTTGGTTAAGTATTAAGTATTGGTTTAACTTAAGTATTTTTCAGGTCTAAAATGTGGATTATAAGGTGTGAAAGGAATTTAAAAAAAAAAAAGGCCTCGTCAGTGAAAGGGTTAAAATGTATTTCTACTTTTGCAGTTAAATTTGAGAAAACCCCATTAAATGTTTTTTAAGTGTTCCTATTCACACAACATACCTAAAACAATATTTCTAAGCTTATAGATGCATCTGTGCAGCAGGCCATTGCAAGCTTCTCTGTTTCCAAGTGACAGGTAACTTAGGCTGTCCCCATAGAAAGACTAGGGACAGCCTAAGTTTCTTCTCATTAATATACAATGATTTTAGAACTTTAATCTTATGTAAAACTGGGTACACATGGATAGATGTTTTTTGTTCAGCTTATGAGGTTGAATAATAAGAATATTTCAACAGATTTCTCCATCCACACTAACTGTATTCTGAGCATTTTCCAGCATATTCCCATGACAAAAGTCAATCAAATGATTGAGTTTTGTCGAGGAGATAGGGCAACCCACGGATCCAATGTCATTCGATTTCTGCTGAGGCAGCTGAAATTTGATCCGTGTGTATCCAGCTTTAGGACAGACAGCATTCAAATCTAGTTCACGCCTGATAATGATATCTGCCAGCAAAGTAGAGACAGGAATATTTATTTTAACATTAAAGTGATATTAAAGCCATCTTTTTTTTTCCCCCTTAAGTGGACCCTCCTTTGCTGGAGGCTGCTGCACAGCCCTGTGGCAGGCCATGCCCCTTCCATCTTTGATTGATGGCAGAAGGAGCCTATAGCAGACTTCTGAGGGACTGAGGGAGAAAAAAGGTGCTGGGCCGTTTTTATGCGAATGCAGAGAATCCATTAAGGTAAAAAACACCCAGAACCTTATACTACTTTAACTTGCTCAGTCCCCCTTGGATTCCAGAACAAAATTCAGTACAGAGAACATTTCTATCAAAATAGATCATGGATTGTGCAAGCAGCAATTTAAAAAAATTAAGTTATGCTATGTAAAAAAGAAACGTAAAAAAATTTAAATAGGTGTTATCCCAATTTGCTGCAAAAGTAGAAACACAGAGGGGAATTTGTCAAAACTGGAGCAGGCAGAATCTGTAGTTGCCCATGCAACCAACCAGCTTCTCTCTTTAATTTGCAAAGCTTACCTGAAACAACTGAGGAGAGAAGCTGATTGGATGTCATGGGCAGCTGCTCCGGATTCTGTCTGCTCCAGTTTTGATAAATCCCCCCCCTGTGATTCTCTTATTTCTATTTAAAGAAGAACTTCAGGAAAATGTTTTATTAACCCTTGCAGTGGGGCTACTCCTGCACTGCAAGGGTTAACTGCTCCTTTTTGGCTAGGTTCAAAAACCTCTGAACCAGTCTAAGGTCCCGTAAATCATCATGTCTATACACTGTGTGGGGAAGTTAACAAAAATGGAGCAGGACAGAATATGGAGCAGTTGTCCATGGCAACCAATAAGCTTCTTTCTTTCATTTTCAAAGCCTAACGAAACAAACTAAAGATAGAACCTGATTGGTTGCCGTGAACATCTGCCCCAGATTCTGTCTGCTCCAGTTTTGATGAATTCCCCTGTGTATATGCTGAGAAAGATTCTAATGCTGCAGCGGAGGAGGAGACAGGCAGGAGGTATCGCTGTGACAGCTGGTTGGCTTGGAGGTTCGGGTGAGTGCAACTTTGTTATTTTTGAACCAAGACAAAAAAACGAGCACTTAACCCTTGCAATGCGGGGGTATCCCCACTGCAAGGATTAAGCATGTTTTCTTTTAGTTCTTCTTTAACGTATAAACACTTGTTCTTTTTTTGCACATATCTACTGCTAGTAGATTACAAAAAATTAAAAAAAAAGTTACCAAAAAAGTAATTACTTACCTGTGTCTCCGCCGCTCTCTCCCATCCGAAGATCTGAAGATTCTCGAGTGACCGAGCAGGATGATGGGGTGGGTGCAAGCAGAGATTTTTGGCGGGGAGAAGGAGAGACAGAGTGGAGCTGAATAGACGGGAGTGTGCACGTCAGAAAGGCTCCGTGGGACAGGAAGAGACAGGAGTCTGCGGAGGATCAGAGACTGGCACTAGCGCTGGAGGGTTTGCTGAATACAAGTGGAAGAAGATGATCGGCTCAAGAGGTATCATTTAAGTTAAGTTAAGTCCTTAAAGCAGCATGGTGGGGGAGGAAAATATTTGTGACTTTAATCTATCCTTTCCTATTGGCATTCCCCTTCCTGCTCAAATGGAAATAACACCAAAACTCTAAAGACCTCTTGGAACTCCTCAGCCCTCTCAATCTTCCCTTTAAATCTAAATAAACATAGTTACATAGTTAGTCAGGTTGAAAAAAGACACAAGTCCATCTAATTCAACCTATAACCCATACAGAGAAGAAAAAAACCCCCCAAAAGGCACATTCATTTGAAAGTAGCAAACTACCTCTGTATATTATAGTTTAAGCATTCTTCTTGAATTGCTTTTAGCCTCTGACCCTGTTAACCATTTGTTGCTACTCCAGCCTCTCCTATCTTAAACTTTTAAAAATCTTTAATCTGGCCTTCTTCTGAATGTTAATCAGGTAGATGAAAACATACTTTTACATACAAATCAATATTATTGCATTTGCAGTTTTTTTGCAGCAAGAGATGCTGCTCCTTATTAATACAGAATCACCTTTCTTTTCTTCCATTTGTTAATATATGTATAACTTAATTAAATTATAATATAAAATATTGCAATTGCTGTACTGTACCTTTGTTCTTGGCTTTAAAAATGGTGTATAAACATGGGGCCATTTCAGAAATCACAGTAAGAAAAAAAGATGGATTATTTTTCACTCTTTGATTAAATGGCAGCTTTAAAACACACGCATGGAACCTAGGATTGGTAAAAATATGTTAGACTATCAATATGTAAATGGATGTATACCACTGATACCTTGGTGATATCTAGGTTAAAAACAAATAAAAACATTGCAAATCAAGTGATAATGTTCAAAATTTTATTTAACAAAAAACAAGCGAATTATGATCAAATTGCAGAGAATGCAGGGGTACACAGTATACAGTGGATAACAAATTTTTTTAATAATTAAGCACCCTTTTATTAGTACACAGGGTTCTAAGATTTTTTAGAACCCAGTGATGACATCACAGGGTAGAAGAAATGGCATCATTTCTCAAGGATTATTGTAGGTTACAAATTCCTACTGGGGCACCCTCTGTGGAAGAAGAGTGAGCATATGGCCTATATTTGCTTTGTGCCCAGCAAACAGCATTAAACTCAGCATGTGAGGGATGTAAAGCAAGCAATCCTTGCCTTACTAGGCATGTAAGCCGGCAAAAAATGTGTTTTGTTTATTTTCGGATGTGGGGAAGAGGCCCTTCTCCTCATCTGGTCCACCCTGGAAAAGCACCCTCCCAATGCCGAGGGCATGTGGCCTGGTATGGTGGAAGGAGGGCGTTCGCCCTTTTCCTGCCCTGATGCCTGGATTAAGGGTCTGGTATGTGATTTTAGGGGGGAACCCCACGTTTTTTTACGGCATTGGGGTCTCCCTTAAAATTCCTACCAAACCTAAAAGGGAACAGTTAAACACTTGTGTATTCTATGATAGCTGTCAGATTCTTTGTCAGCAAACCAGCATAAGTTGTTACAGACTAACACCTATCTCTCAGCTTCTTTCTTTCTTTTCATTTTGTAACAATATTTTGTTACTTTGCTGACATTCTTGACTATCTGTGTGAAGTTGGCACCCCATGTTTGTAAAACCTGAGTAAAAATTACACCATTCGTTTGTGCTGCAAAAACAAGCGTTTGTGCCAGTTCGTTTTTTGAGATATTGGACATTTCATTTATTTTCAAGCCCCGCCCACTTTGCACCCCATATTATTTTAAAAACAAGCACGCCATTAGTTTGTGCCACTTTGGTTTTGGAGATATTGCGCATTATAGTTGCTGAGCACCCCATGTTATTACATTTAAAAAACAAACACACCATAGTTTGTGCTGCCTTTGTGCCGCAAAAATAAAAGCCTGTGCCGGTTTGGTTTCGGAGATATTGTGCATTATATGTTACCAAACCAGAAGAAGCAAAAATGGGAGGGGAAGCGCCACAACCAGGCAAAAACCTACAGGTTTTTGGAAGTCTCCTTTCTGGAAAACTTAGAAGGGTTGGTATTGTTTTGGAATGCTGGTGTGGCGGATGGACGGGTTGATGAAGACTGGTCCTTCTCGCTTTGGCTGTTGGAGGTGATTGAAGAGGGGGTAAAAATAGTATTTTTGTACTCCGTAAAATCCTTTTCTCTCCGTTCATTGAAGGACACAGGGCAACAGATCGTAGATCCTGAATGGTAGGGTATATCGCCACCTGCAGGAGTAGGACGCTAGGCACATAACAAAAAGACAAGACAGCCTAGGGGCGGCCCCTGCTGGTGGCCCAACCCCTCACTTGCTGACAAGTCTCCAGTAAGTAACAAGCAGTTAGGAGTGTACACCCCATAAAAGAGGGCGGGACCTGTGTCCTTCAATGAACGGAGAGAAAAGGATTTTACGGTGAGTACAAAAATCCTATTTTCTCTCCCGTTCATTGAAGGACACAGGGCAACAGATCGTAGATCCTGAATGGTAGGGATGTCACCAAGCAGTACACACTGAGGGATGGGCAATAACAACCAACACCCAAAAGACACCTCAAAGAGCCGCCTGCAACACTTTGCACCCCAAACCAGCATCCCCCGATGCCAAAACACCCACCTTGTAAAATTTAACAAGGGTGTGAACAGAAGACCAAGTAATGGCCTTACAAACCTGAGAAACAGAGGCCCCATGGCGGAAGCCCAGGCAGCCCCAACAGCCCTAGTAGAATAGGCAGTGACAGGAAACGGAGGTTCATGCCCCTTAACGGCGTACGCCTGAACCACAACCGTACGAATCCACCTAGAGATGGTAGCCGCCGACGCGGCACGGCCCTTATGAGGGCCCCCCGTGAGCACAAACAGAGAGTTCGTCTCGTGGAAAGAAGCCGTAGCTTCCAAATAAACCCTGAGAGCGCGAACCACATCCAAACATTGGAGCGCACGCTCCTTCCTATGGACCGGCTTCAGACACAGGGAAGGTAAGACCATGTCCTCATTCAGATGGAATGCCGACACAACCTTCAACAGGAATGCCGGCCGAGGACGAAGAACCGCCTTGTCCCTATGCAAAACCAGCAACAGAGCTTTGCAGGACAAGGCAGCCAACTCAGACACCCGCCGAACGGAAGTGATGGCCACCAAAAAGGCCACTTTAAGCGGAATCTCCTGAAGAGGTTCAAACAGAGATTCCCTTAACACTGAAGGCGCGAGATTCAGATCCCACTGAGCCAAAGGCGAGTGGACAGGGGGAGCCATGAGTGTGACCCCCTGAACAAAAGTGCGAACCAGAGCATTAGACGCCAAAAGACGCTGGAAAAGCACCGCCAAGGCAGAGAGTTGGCCCTTCACAGCACTCAAGGCCAGCCCCCGAGCCACCCCGCGCTGCAAGAATTCCGCTGACGGAGAATAAACGCGGGGACAGGGCCCCAGCCTCACACTAGGCAAAACAGGCCCTCCACGTGCGATGGTAAATCTTACAAGAAACTGCTTTGCGCGCCCTAAGCATTGTGGATATGACCGCATCAGACAAACCCCGGTCCTTCAGGACCTGGCTCTCAACAGCCACGCCGTCAAAGCCAGCGACTGTGAAGAATGGAACACAGGTACCCGGGACATAAGACCGGGATGCAAAGGCAGCCGCCACGGTGCGTCCATCACCAGCTGAACCACGTCCGCGTACCACGCCCTCCGAGGCCAGTTCGGGGCCACGAGGGCGACGCCCTCAGTCGCGATCCGACGCAGAAGACGAGGCAACAGATATAGAGGGGGGAAGCATAAATCTCACCGTAATGACACCAAGGAGCCACCAGGGCATCCACCGCCTCCGCCCAGGGATCCAGAGCCCGGGCCACGAATCTGCCCACCTCCCGGTTGAACCGAGACGCCAGAAAATCCACCTCCAGCGTCCCCCAGTGAAGACAGAGCAGTTGAAAAACTTCCGGGTGCAGTGACCACTCTCCCGGTTCCACCGACTGTCGACTGAAGTAGTCGGCCTGCCAATTGACCACCCCCGATATGAAGACGGCCGAGAGGGCCAGAACCCGATTCCCCACCCAGGAGGAGTGCCGGACACCTCCCGACCTGCGGCCATGCATTTTGTGCCACCCTGGCGGTTGATGGACGCCACCGCGGTGGCGTTGTCCAACACATCCATCGACAAACAGGACTCCTCCGGCGATCAACGACCCTGCACGGTCAAGGCGCCCAGGACTCCACCCCAGCCCCAAGGCTGGCGACCGTGGTGACCACCGTCCAGAGCACAGGAAGGAAAGACTTCCCCCTGCACCAAGGCAGGACATTGAAGCCACCACCGTAGGGAGGCTCTCGCCACCCGAATTTCCCTGTCCAAGGATAGAGGGGACTTATCCCACCGTACCAGGATGTTCCTCTGCAGGGTCCCGGTGTGGTGCTGCGCTAAGGACACCGCCTTGAAGTAGGCCACCATGAGACCCATGACCTGCATGCAAAAACGAATGGGCGACCACCAGCGAGTGCGCAGCAGCCAGACTTTGGAATGCAATTTCAGGAGCTGGTCCCGAGGGAGGAAAAACCCCGGTCGCGTCCAGACCTAGGCCCAGATACTCCAGGCGTGGAGAAGGCACCAGGCAAGACTCCCGGAGGTCCAGGAGCCAACCGAACTCCTCCAAGGACGGCACCGTGACCCCCAGAGCCGTCACCAGAGAGCAGTGCGATCCCGCCCGCAGAAGCAGATCGTCCAGGTAGCCCACGAAACCCCCCCGACAAGGCAACAGCGCCAGAATTGAGGCAAGCACCTCGGTGAACACCCGCGGGGCTGACGCCAGCCCAAAAGGCAGTGCCACAAATTGAAAATGCTCCTCCCAACCGCGGAGGAGAAAGTCGCGTGTTGGAGGGGAAGAACCGCTTCCACGGACGGAACCGAAATTGGATCTTGTAGCCCGATGAAACCAGCTCCCGGACCCAAGGGTCGGAGACGTGGGCTAACCAAAAATCCGCATGACGAAGACGCCCCCCCCCCCCACCCTGGGGACCAGAGCTGGGGCGCGACCTTCATGCGGACTGGGGCTAACCGGCGGGCTAGGCAGACCTAGGTGTCACAAAAGCAGGAGAGACATTCTCCCCCACAAGACCCTGACGCAGCAGTTTCGCCCACTTAGTCAGTGTCTGAGAGACCAAAGCAGCAGCCAAGACCCGGCGCAGAAGTGCACCCGAAACGGAGTACAAGTCTGTGAAAACGCCTCAGCAATCCAATCGGCGCTGTTCTTAAAAGGACAGAGAGCCCTCCACCGAAATAAGCGTGGCCCTGTTCAAGCTGGAGACCAGAAGGTCCACCACATCGGAGAGGACCATTTAGACAAAAAAACCCTCCCCAAAGGGATAGCGAACCGAGAAACGCTCAGGAACCGCCAAAGACTCGGTAGGCCGCTTCCACTCCTTATAAATGAGGTCCTCAAGAAGGAGATGTAATGAAACACCTCGGAGGAACGCCGACTCTTGTGCTCCCCTAAACTGCACCAGTGGCAACGTGGAAGAACTGGAAGTATCTCCAATTTTAAAGGTCTCCCTGACAGCACGTACTTGACCGGAAACCAATTCCCGTTTCTGAACCATGAGCGCAGACGCCGACTCATCCCCACTGCCTGAATCCGGCTGTGAGGAATCACCAGGATCAGGACGAGGCGAAGCCGTGGGAAGCTCCCCTTCCTGCTCGGACTTCCCCGAGAGGGCAGGGGATGGCAAGGCACGCTTTTTAGTGGGCCTCTG